TTAATATCTTCATCATTGATTGATAAACTTTCTATTATCCAAAGAACTCTAACAGTCTGCATATATCCAATATGGCTTGCGTTTGGTATCATCGGTTGTCTACTCAATCTCATCGTTTTTTCTCGTCGAAAATTACGAACAACTTCATGTTCTATTTGTAAGTATCAGTATTAGAATTCATTTCTTATTACATGAAACATTACTTTTCAAAACATATTTTAATATTTAATGAATTATAGTAATATTTTGTTACCGTATGATGTGTTTTTTTAGACTTTTTGGCAGCATCTGCAGATCATTTAATAACATTAATACTTGGCATTGGAACAGTCGTGTATAGTCTCAATAATCCTGATCCACAAATACAATCACTTTTATTTTGTAAACTACGTGGTTACATATTTCAAATATGTTTAATGCTTTCTCGTTGGTTTATTGCATTTGCTTGTATTGATCGTTATGCATCAACTTCAGATAAAGTTCATTTAAGAAATTTTGCTAAACCAAAAATAGCATATTATATAATTATCATCATTATTAGTTTTTGGTCAATTATGTGTTCCCATAGACTTATATTTTATGAAATCAAAGGAAATCTCTGTGGTATTGTTAATAATATTGTAGCGGCATTTTATCACAGTGTGTATGTTATTCTTGGAGGTGGTATATTTCCTTCTATGATTATGATGATATGTGCATGGCTTATTCGTCGAAATCTTGCACATAGACGCATGAAACGGACACAATTTTCATTAGGCAGTTATCAACGAAATCCACTAGATCAACAAGTTCTTTGTATATTATTCGTGCAAATTATATGTTATATTATATTTACAACCCCTCAATTATGTAATTTAGTATTTAATACAATCTTAATAATGACTCCTGATGAATCAAGAGATGAATTGGCTTTTGAATCATTTCTGAATTTTCTAGCAGAATTAATGCTTTATTTATTTCCAGTGTCATCATTTTATTTATACACACTTACATCTCGTACATTTCGTAAAGAATTAATTGATTTTTTTCGTTTAGTATTAGTCAATTGTGGAAAAAATCGAATTACACCAATAACACCTGCTTCGATTGCTCGGCGTAATATGGAAAAAAATGAAACTATTATAAATACATCTGCAGCATAAACGAAAAAATAAAAAAAATCTAAAAAAAACTATTGTTATTATTAGAATTTTTCTTCAAAGAATGAAATAGTCATCTAATGGCAAAACTTATACTAGAAAGATAAATATGCTGATTTGTATTTCAGAGTATATAAATGTGTGCTAGACACAATTTGAAAATTTGCTTGGATATATCCATAAGTTTAAAATTTATTTGTGTATAAAAATGAAATAGTAATTTATTCAATAGGCAATAAATCACATTACGATGCAAAATTGAATTTTTCTGTTTCTGATCATTCATAGGAACTGATTTTCTTTGATTAGCCTAATAAGGATATTTTGCAGATTATCAAATAAGAAAAATATATGACGCATTCGACAATCATGTTCAGTTGTCATCTATAACAATGAAAGGAAGAAGTCACAACAAACTTTATGAATGAGATTACATTGATTTACATAGAGAAAATTTTTAGGATTAGTTAATGTTGATGTCAACGCTTATAATATTTTAAATTTTCAAGCATTGAACACAGTTTTTTTTCCAAGAAAGTTGCTGATTGCGTTCTTAAAGAGCTTCAGTTGTGCTTTTTTGCGCCGACGTAATATAGTTTATAAAGTTTATTTTAATTTATTATTTCATTCTGTTAGGTGACTACTGAAAGCTATATTGGAACACAAGTAGAAAGCTTTGTTAGCGGAGCCTCTTTGGGGCTGAAATGTGGAACTCACATATCTTCTTTGATTTCATTATACTAATCACAAAATATCCAATATTTAAATTCTCCAAAAGATTTATAGTTCTTTTCTAATGATAATCGATTATCAGAAAATGCTGTCTTTTTTTTATTTTAATATTTCGAACAGAAATTTTATCTTTTTTGGTAAAGTTGCTACGGTCTGTAATGGGAAGTGTCTGTAACGGGAGAGGGGAGGAAGAGTCGCAAAACCTTGACCTTAAAACTTACACTCACTATTTTCTTTGAAAATATATGTGAGTTCCACAAAATGCACTATTGTGAAAACTCATATTGTGTAAGATATGTCAAAAAAACCAGTCGTTCTATATCATAAATGCATCAGACGTCATAAATTCAAATACGAATAGCCAATATGAAGAATGTAATCGCCTGTTGTACACGATCGCACATGTTCGTAGGTTATTCATGATTTAAATTGCACTTATCAAGCATTTAGCTTTTTATTTTTTGCACTCAACAATGAATTCAATAGTGAGCGTGTGTTTAATAAAATATTTGTCTTTACTCAAATTAATGCTAATAATAGATTGAATAGCAAGTATTCATATTAAATAAATAAGTAATATTCCATGTGTGTATTAGGCGAGCGGAGTGTAAAGAAAGTGCCTCTCCTATTAAGTTAGAAGAAGTCTATTTGAAAATAATAGCTTATAGCATATGTCATATACGACACGACGAGATATGATTGTAATTCTAAAGTCACGTAGCAAAACTGCATAGCTTGAAAAATATAAGTGTCTAAGAACGCATATATCTGTTAGCAATCTGTCTTAATCTTATTCCTAAGATGCTAAAAATTATTTTTCTTACTTGCCAATAGGTAATACTTCTTTAATGAGCTGAACGATAGTACTTAATTGAAGTATTAAATTATATTTATCGCACGAAAGTAAAAGCCTTTAAAAAATATCTATTGCTCATCAAAAAAGACAGCCTACTTGAATCAATGTCAGTTTGATGATTCCAACCTACGAAAACAAGCGGATTTAGTTGGTACTAATCAGATAAATGCACGAAAATAATTGTATTCAGTCGGAAAACATTAGAAATCAAGAGTACGCAGAGGCAGCATTACCGATCAAATGTGTCTCTGTATTTGTCCAATGACTTTTGATCATTGTCTGCCGGAACTGGTTCTTATGAATTCATCTGTAAATCGAAATGGAGTTATTGCAATTTTCTGTCGTGCTATTTTCATATCAAAAAAACTGCTCAAAATCAGATTAAAATAGATTATTTTTGGATCAATAATCTGTTATAATGACACAATTTTTATCTGATTTTAATCTTTTTTAATCTAGTTTAATCGATTTGAATTGATTAAAATAGATTAAAATCAAATGAAATCTGTTTTAGTGCTGAAAAATCAGATAAAAATAGTGCTATTAAAATAGACTTTAATCTGATTTTCAACCGGTTCTTTTTTACATAAATTATTGATGGTCATACTATATCTGATTTAATTATTCTTTGTGTTATCTCTGTATAAGATAATCTAATTTTACAGAATGTATTTGAGCATCATGGCTTTTATAAAAAGAAGAAAATGATTTACATGTTGAAAAAGAAAACATTTGGAAAGAAATTAGTTTATTTTTATAACGCCTCTGGATAAGTTTATAATAAGGTTTTAAATTCATTTAGTAGCATGTTGCTATTATGTCATGTGAGCATAACTGGAAAAAATTTTCTTACATATACTTCTCTTGAGTATTAGTCTGATGTTTTTGACGTGTAAATGTTTGGTAATGACGGAAACTATGTAGGAATACATTTGTATCTGGTAGGAATATTTTCCAAAATTTTTTTCACCTTGAAAAGTTTTGCATAAAAGTGTTCATCTATATCACAAAAATTTCCTATTTATTAAAATTATTAGAATATCTGATTACGATAAAATAAACAAAATTGATTGTTCTATGATTCACTAATGTATTGTGTATTAGTTTCTTTTTTAGAAAAATCGATGCATCCGTTAGGAAAAATAAATAAAAAATAATAATCATAAAAAGTAAGTCCATAGAAAATAACTGTAAAAAAAATTGATTTGAGCAATGAGTATCCTCATCCCCATAATACAGGAAACACCTTGTAAGAATAAAAATTTTAGTTTCAATACTGATATTGAAACAATGTGGCTTTCTTTGATTAACCATTGTCCAGTATGACTGTAGGGGTGTTTTATTTTATTTCTTAACCATATTACCAATTTTCCGGAAGTTACTTCGATTATATAATTCTTTTTCCAAAAATACAAAGGAAACTGCGATCACCTGTCAAAAAAATGTTTTCTAACTAGTCTATTTTGATAAACCGTTTTTGTTCGGTAGGATTATCTTATCAAAAAATTTTCGAGGACAATTAGCCAGTCTTGAGCAATTAGCTTACAGCTGTTTGACATCCTTATATTACCTGAAAAATAGTCTGATAAATAAAACGGATACGGCTGTGAAGGTAAGTGAAATATAGACGATAGAGATTGTCATTAGAAATAAGCAACGAGTAATATAAAAGATGAAACACTCCTGGAGTATGGTTATGACAGCTGGAAGCAAAAAATTTTCTCTGAAAGAATAAGAATATAATTTTTGAAAAGCGAAGAAATATTCAAGGGACTTGTTTTATACTAATGAGATCTGTCATATAGTAATTAGAATACGTTCATTATATTGATAACTTCTTACTCTTTTCAAACATCTGTCGTGTCAGTATTCTCAAAAATGCATTTGCTTTTTCAAAATCATGTTAAACTTTTAAAATAACTATTTTCGTTCCTTTTACATTCAAGAGGCGGATATCATAAATTATTAACTGTACTTCTAGTAGTATTTTATCATAGCTTGTTATTTATATTTCTCTGTTACAGATAGATGTATTACATAACAATGCCATCATCTACATCTTTGATTAGTACGCTTCTTACTGTTCAAAGCACTCTAACACTATGTGTTTATCCAATATGGCTTGCATTTGGTATCATTGGATGTTTACTCAACCTTATCGTTTTCTCTCGTCCAAAATTAAGATCAACTTCTTGTTCTATTTGTAAGTATCAATATTAGAATTGACTTTTATTAGATGAAACATCACTATCCAAAACATATTTTAATATTTAATGGATTACGGTGCTAGTGTTCTATTGTATGTTGGTTTCTTTTTAGATCTTTTTGCGGCATCTGTAGACCATCTAATGACATTAATTGTTGGCATTGGACCAGTCGTGTATAGTCTCAATAATCCTGATCCACAAATACAATCACTTTTATTTTGTAAACTACGTGGTTATATATTTCAAATATGTTTAATGCTTTCTCGTTGGTTTATTGCATTTGCTTGTGTTGATCGCTATGCATTAACTTCAGACAAAATTAATTTAAGAAATTTTGCTAAACCAAAACTAGCATATCGTATAATTGTTATCATTATTATTTTTTGGTCAATTATTTGTTCTCATCGACTTATATTTTATGAAATCAGAGGGAAATTCTGCGGTATTATAAATAATATGGCAGCAGCACTTTATCATAGTCTTTATGTTATTATTGGAGGTGGCATATGTCCAGCTATGATTATGATTATATGTGCATGGTTTATTCGTCGAAACCTCGCACATAAACATAAAAAACGAACACAACTATCGTTAGGTGAGAGTCAACGAAATACACTTGATCAACAAGTTCTTCGCATATTATTCGCGCAAATTATTTGTTATATTATATTTACAATTCCTCAACTATGTAATTTAGTATTTAATACAATCTCAATAACAATTCCTAATCGATCAAATGAACATTTAGCTATTGAAGTATTTGTTGCGTTTCTAGCAGAGTTGATGCTTTATTTATTTCCAGTGACATCATTTTATTTATATACACTTACATCTCGTACATTTCGTAAAGAATTAATCAAATTTTTTTCTTCCATGCTCAGTCGAAAAGGTCGAATTACTCCAGCAATTGGTGGCACAACTGCTACTTTCCATGTCGATCATTAGAAAAATACAACAAACGCATCAATGACTTCAATTCCTTCTCAAATATTTATACTTGTATTCCCAAGAATATTTGTAATAAAGTGCAATTTGTAAAACGAAAACACACCTATAAGAATTTCAGTCAAAGTTGGATAGAATTGCTAGATTTAATCTACTAACAATTAGAAATTTCTTTTTCACTAAAGCAACAGGTAACAAAGACATGATACAAAAGAAGCATACAATAAAGTAGATAATCACATTGTAGTTACATGAATGGGAAAACGTTAACAATATTCAAATTTAGCATTAACAAAGTGATAGTTATATTCATGAAATCTGAAGTGTTTATTTTTTAAATAGGATGAAGAACTTTTGTTCAGTGGTCAAGTGTTTCATGACATTATATTTTGATGAGATCGTTCTTTCACAATAGATCACAAGTATTTTTTTGTAACATAATTAGAATCCAAACAGGATTCAATTATTTTTACTCAATTTAGCATGACAATCGAAAAACAGGAAATAGACATCGATAAAAAGGTATACTTTATTTCCCATGAAAAAATAATGAAAAAAAAAAGAGATGGAGAACTCGTTTCTTCTATAGGAGAACGCGTTCTCATTGAACTCATTCTTAGTGAATGAAAATTTATTCTCTAGAAATGTGCTCGAATGTATCCAATAAGAAAAGCGCTGTTTTTTTTATAGGGAAACATTTTTTATTAATAAGCTATATTTTTTCGACCTTAATATAGAATAAAAGGAAAGTGTCTGATTATAATTATAAAAAGTGCATGAAAATCATAGCTGCTCTATCTAGATATTTTATGGAACAATTAACCGAAGCAAATTTTCATGTTTATTTTATTTCTGCAAATAGGGACATCAAAAGAACACACACACAAAACTACAAATTCAACTAGTTTCAGACAAGCTCAGAAGCCAAATAAATGTATATTCATCACTAGAGAAAATTCTTAAAAAAAACAAGTATAGATGGAGATGCTTTTTATCGTTTATTGTGATTTTCGCGAAATCTAGTCAGATGGTAGCAACACTTTTTTTAAATTAGGGTTCTATCTCGAATATAAAGATAATGCTGAGTTACACATTACAGTTGATCAGAATTATCGTTCCAGAGGATCAACATTCTTAATTTGTTATTATTTGTATAGTGATAGCCATAGCCTAAGGTCAAAAGTAAGAAAAAGGATGCATCTATAGAATGTGGCTGAGGCCAGTACTTTTAAAATTGAAAAAAACAGCCATTACCTCGCTAATGCGATAATTTTATAAACAAGGTAGTGAATAATTGAACTAAATACATTTTGCGCACCTGATGGCTTTTGCACATCTATGGTAGTTTACACAACAGATAGTGTAGGGATGCCCATTCATATTAACTTTCAAATTATTTTATGTGTAAGTCTAAGTATTAACAATTCAAATTTATAATATAATTTATACTATTTTTAATCCTAATTTACATTTAAAAATAAATATAAGTTATCAATAATTTAGGATATTTTTCAAATTTGAATTATTTGTAAATCTTAATTGATAAAAATTTTTTAATCATCCTAAAATTCAATTATAATGAAATGATTGTTAAGATATACAAAAATTTCAAATTTCACTTTCTTGTTAGCTATACATAGAAAAATAAGTGTACAACACAGTACGCGGGATAAACTAGCAATAGCCGGTCGTTAGATTCATACCAGAAAGTACTCAGGTCGAATCTAGGAAAGAGCAAAACAGAACGCTTCAGAGCTTCTTTTCGAAGACTGACACTGCCTTCTACTGTTACAAGAACAGGTTTCAAAAGATATTTCTAACGGTCAAGGGCTGACTCCAATACAAGTCATTCTTGTTGGCCCAGAATGGCTTAAAAATATGAGTTCTTCACTGTTTTGTTATCAATTAGTGTTCACAAATCGGTGTATATAATCAATATTAAATAGTATGCTGTATAATATTCTATTTCCTTTTATACATTTGCGAGAAGTTCTGTTGAAGAATTCACATGGAAGAATATGGAAGCTTCATATTTTTCAAACATTTCTCTCTTCTCCATTAATATTGTTTTTGCTCATTAAAACAAAAGGATCATATGTAATAATAATCGATCTTTCTTACCTTATAGGCTTGTACACTTCTTACATAGTTCATTTTGCACATATTGCTGCACAACTAAATCATAAAAATTGCAATATATTTTTTTAACGATACACCATCATACGCTCTTGACTGTTCTAAAATATTATTTTTTTTGAACGCTAAAAGAAAATTATGTGAAGCTGCCATTCTCCATCATAATAATGAATATGTGCAGGCGTATTTAAGATTTTATTATTTCTGTCTGTGGAAATAGCATCAACAAAAAAAAACTAGCAAGATAACCACACGAAGCAGTTTGTCACTTTTGAACACAAATTTTTGGGGCATATAGAAAAGTCTTTAGATTAGAATGACCTATAAAAAATATGATTCCATAAACTTTCAGTGCAAAGCTACCATCCTTTTAGTGAATTTTTAGTATATGATGGAGTATTGGTAGGAAAATCAAGCAATACCTTGTTTTGCATTAAAATTTAGCCTTTAAGTAGTATTTGTTAGTCTAAAATATTCTCAAGAGTGCAATCACAAAAATGACTTATTTTCCAAGTTTTCAAGATTCAACATATTTCAAGAAGAGTCTGATCCTTGTGACTAAAACTTTACAATATTCTTAGAATTATAACAACTACATATAAAAAAAATACTTTTAGACCGTAAAATCTTTTGCATTATTTTTCTACCGAAATTCGATCACCTGTTCAAAAATTCAGCAAAACTGTCGTCACTCTCTATAGAGGGTCTATGGATCTGAATCTTTGTAGGAAAAGTCTAATCTAGAGATATTCTCTATACACCCGAAATCACAGCTTGAAAGTGGTACATCAATACAGCGAAATTCGCTCACAAGCTGCACACATTGTGAGACACTCAATAATTATTTTCATTTTTTCGTTCTAATGTGCAAAAAAAAGAAAAATAAGTTATTTGTAAGTTTTAGTTTCTATACTGATGCGAGTGTCACCAAGATTTTTCTTTTTTTGAGTGGGCCGCATCTATCTAGAAGTTTTACGATCAAAAGAAGAGGAACTTATCTAATATCCTCTTGCTCTCTTAAAAGAGAATGAGTGAAAGTGCCACTTGGTGTCTAGAGAAATGTGAAGCAATACGATAATTTGAAGACGATGCTTATTGCAATTCTCAAGTCTGAAATTAACAGTTTCTGATTAAAAAAATGTGCGAACTCTAAATTTCTTATTTACCAAATATGATATCTGTAAAAGTGCAGTCGGCTCAAGAAATTTCAAGTTCTACTGTGTTTTACCTCATGAAAAACATCATTAAAAAACAATTGTTTACCGACATGACTAGCACCGTCAATCAAGGTAATAAAGAGCTATACTACATTTGGAAGAGAAACAAGAAGCAAACAATATGAAAAATATTTTTGATCTATATAAAAATTTTTACATTTTTCAAAAGGTTTCGAAAACTTTGCTGAGTTTATGAAGTCCCATGACGTCTGACGATGCTCTGCCGAATGGCTTAGAAACAAGACAATTTTCAAGTACAAAACTATAGTAAATGAATCAATGTTTATTTTTATTGGAATAAAATGTATGTCGATTTTTTATTTCAACCAAGCTTTTCTTAAGACACCCGAAAGATTACCTATTTCTCTCAATTACTAAAATTATAATGAAAAACCGTTTTGCGAAATAAATACTACACGCTTGATTATGATTCACTAGACATATGTGTAGTTGAAAGATTCAAATGTTCTTCGACGTACTAGATCATTGAACAATATGAAATATTATTTACTACTTTGTTTTTTATTCAAGTAAATAAATCATCCAGCATTAAAAAAACTATCTGTTGAAGGATATGATATTGATTTTCGTATATAATAGGTTATTCAAACTCATGTGAGAAGTATTTCTTTTATCGAACAACAATTACCCAATGAAAAAATATCAGATTATGGAAGATTTCAGTAGATTATAATCGGATTTTTCTGCAACAAAATCAAAATTATAAT